TCCATCACCAGCACACTTGATTTAACATAATGAAGCATTACTTCATCAAACCACATATTGGATGATGACCACTATTAATACTGACTGGATTACTATAAGTAAAGGTTTAGAAACAATTAAACACACTGACAAACTTAAACCACTACTTATTATATTAATATCATTTTTATGTATTGTAATATTAGTGTTTTTCTGGGCAAATAAATTCTTAGAGTCCAGATTAACACACACAGGCCAGCCACTTCATTAGATTCACCCCTTTGTATCTACACTCTTTGTCCGTATTATCAGCTCCAGGTGCACTTTGCAGTTCTACAATTACAGACTGTAGTCCATCTGTTTCTCTGGATACTTTGTTAGCCCCATTTTACCCTGTTCTTCAGTGCTCAGGACCCCCACAGAACCACCACAGAGCAGGTATATTTTGGGTGTTGGATCATTATCAGCAGATCAGATGCGGCATAACAGCAATCGTTTGAAGTTAAACTTGAAACTTGTGCTCTAAACATGTGACAGTAACCGCATGTAGATGACATTATGATAACAAACTGTACAAAGTTCACAGAATGCCATCTTGATCAACATTTCAGTGAGTTTAAAGAGAGAAAAAATTATTTTTCTGTTGATCACCATTCAGCGCTAAACGGATCTGACCCTAATATTTGCTTATTCTCTATTACTTTTGCTTTAAACTCATTCATTCATAATTCAGGCTCTGTGTAATTCTGAGCAGCCAGCAGATGTCACTGCAAGTGTAGATGTTTGATTATGAAAAAGAGCCCTGAAATTCCTTTGGGTATTGCTGAGATTTTTGGAACCCTTGGTGATGATGGGTAAAAAACGTCATTAAAAATGTATTTGTGGTTAATTAGCTCACAGAGAGTATATGAGAAAATATGTAATTAAAGTAAATTTAGTCTAAGAAAGCAAGAACTAATCCTTTTTAAACCTTGTGTCACAACTATTGGCACGCCGGCATTTAGTGCTTGTGAAATGTCACTTTGACAGCATAACAGCAATGAATCTCCTTACACAATACAGAGAAAGCAATCTGAGCGCACTCCTCAATACAGAATCTCTCCCGATCCTCGTGATTGTAGGTTCTCTCTCGTCTTCCTTTATTCACCCCAACGGTTTTCAAATGGATTTGGTCAGCAGACTGAGATAGCCATGTCAAAAGCTTGATTCTGTGGTTAATAAACTAGTTTTGTGTGGATTTGGCTGTATGTTTTGGATCGTCCAATTATAGTTTTAAACCCAAAATGCTACTATTTTCTGCAAACCGTGAACCTTTTTTTTGCCTCCCTGACCATCATTGTGCATGGGGGTAAAATAAACTCGTCCTCTTCCAGGCAGCTTCCCAACAGCTCTGGTTGTTTTAAACTACTTAATCATTGCTCTAACAGTGGATATGGGCATTTCCAGGCATGTAGCTATTATTTTTTTATAATCATTGGCTGTTTATGAAGGTCAGCACACTTTTGTCTCTTTTTAGCATTTACTAATCTTACCCAGATTACAGATTACCTGTTAAATGCTGTAGTTTGTAACTTGATTCAAATTATTACTGCATTAATGTAATCCAATTACTTTCTGTCACTTTTAGATTACTTTTCCAAAAGTCATATAATTAAACAAAGACAAGAGAAAATTAATTTCAAGCAAACAGGACAACTGCACTTTTTTTTATGAGGCTAAATAAATAGATCATTGGCAACTTACTTGTATTTGCTTTATACCAAAATCAAAAGTTTAATCTGGTAGAAACCGTCTTTTGAGACCCCTCATGAACAGTAATTATAAATACAGGCCATCCAACACAGTCTGACTGACCATCACTTGTGTCTGTCTATACTGGTGTGTCATGCTAAGACCTCATAACAATTGCCATTTTCGATGTCATTTGTTAACAGTCCCTTATATAAAATTAGTGGGGGCCGATCGTTCTAGTTACCAATCATGAAGAATTAGCCTTTTTAACATTCTAATCCATCGTTCAAAAACTATTAAAGAATGATATGTAGGCAAAAATAAAAGAAGAAAAAAATAAAAAAAAGACTTTCCTCATGTTCACTCCTCATGTTATTCTTTTTAGTCAATGTTTTAGTTAATGCTGGCTCACTTGGCACATTAAAAGTTTGATTTATAGACTCAAACCTGAGACTTTTTCTCTGGCAAACAAGAATAAAAGAGCTTACTTCCAGTTTGCTGCTGTAGGATCATGTGTAGATTCAGGGTAAAAACCTGATTGAAGTATCTTTTGGAAAATGCTACAGATCTTAACTCTGCTGATAAAAATAAAATGCCTACAAAAATTTCTAGATTGGCTGAGAACTGCTTCTTGTGAGGGGGCTTGTTCTTCAGATTCCTCTGTTGGTGGCAGAACCAACCCCTTCCGCAGTGAAAAACTCCACACAAAATTTCCACAAAATGCAACAATTTTGCATGTACGTGGTTTTCATGTAATCTTTCCTGTAACCACTCTATTTTTATTATGTACCTGTACTAGAATTACTGTCTTTTTACTGAAATTGTAATTACAGTTACCTTCGTTTGGTATCCTGTTTATGTAAGGATGTAAAATTTATTCCATTATTATACCTAAACCTGGTCCTGGTACACCTCCTGCACATCACCAGGTATCTCTAATCCATCTTATCTGTAGCCATGATGCCCTCTCACTGTCACTGGACTGAGGTCACCATGGACAATGCATGTTTTCCTGGCTTTACTATCCAAAACTAAGTCTGATTTGTCAGAGAGTTCATATATATATAGTGCTGTGAGAATCCTTATGAGAAAGGTCAAAATGGGATTTGGCCTTGGAGTATTGGCAAATTTGTTCTTACTATTATTGCTGCCCCCATGTGAAAGCCATGTAATGTTGGCCTACTACTGCCTAAGTGCTGGCTTCCTAGCCAAGAAGGGCAATTTGCTATACCACCATCGCCGTTGTCCTACATTACTGATACGCTCTACCAGATTTTGGACAAGATGGGCTTTCGGCAGAGGTTCACAAATATTTTCTATCATGGGTTCATCTATTACATATATAAAAATATTCATACATCCATTGTGCAAAGCTGTATGCAAGCAATACTTTGGTCCTACCATGTGGTCTAAGTGGGTTCCACTGCAGACACTCAAAAACTTTGCTTGTGCAAAGCTGTTGCATGACAGAATGATTATACCGATATTTGTCACAAGCAGAGTTAATTATTTTAATGTGGTTTTAAGAGGCTTCCTAAGAAAACAACACATCGTGTACAAGTGGTCCAAAATGCAGCAGCATGAATCGTAACGAAATCAAGCGAGAAGGCTTACACCCTATCACCTCTTCTGAAAGAACTGCACTCATTTACAATAACTTTTAAGACAGATTTTAAAGTTCTTTTACTTGTTTTTAAAGCTCTGATGGACTAGCACCTATGCACCTCTCCACTGAATGTCAGTTTGTATATCTTTTGCATGATCTTAGATCTGCAGACACTGGCCTTCTGCAAATATCCTGTGTCAACAGAAGAAGAGCAGATGGCTATTTTTGTTATAACGATATAACGCTAAATTGTTGAGCTCGTTAACTTGGGTACAATTCATTACGATGAGGCAGTCAAATACGATACGCACATCTGAAAAAATATCTTTTAATTTTCTTTTAAAATGATAATGTATATCAATTTTATTTATCTACCTACTCTATTCTGTAATTTGACTCAAGTTTATTTTATTGCTAGTTTCAATACTAGTTTAGTAATAGCACACGGCATGTAGCAAATATGCTTGTTAGACAGATTCCAAAGAGAAAATTGACCAGTGGCTTCTTTACAAACATTAGAGTACCTTCTAAAGCCTGAGTATACTGATAAATCACTGAGTAAACCAGTTATTAATATCAGTGTTACTGAGCTCTTTCGAGGGCCAACTGAACAGCCTCCTCAGCAATGGACATGCTCAGCAGTGGCAAGCTACCCAATGTACAGTCAAATTTACCAGCTTTTGTTAGGGTGATGTGGCAAGGTGCTTATAGGAAATATCATTTTATTATAATTTTCTAGAAAGGTGAGTTTAACAAAAGTGTGGCAATAAATATCTAACAATATGTATAGGTGGTAATCCCTAGATAAGCCTACCAAAACATTTGTCAAATCTTTTAGTGATATATCTTCTAATGAAATGAAAGCTTGATCTCTCTCTTACCATGATCAAGTTTTATATTATTGATTTTAATAAATTAAATAAAGAACAGAAAGTGTGAAAAGTCTTTAGCTGGAAGTTAGTTAAAGCCCACTTGCTGATAAGCCCACACATTGTTTTATTTTAGAAAAATGTGAATTTTAATAATAAGCCTATGAACAACAGACACTTATAACAAACATATAAACTGCCACCCAGTTCCAGTGAGGAACAGTGTGAATTAATTAAAAATGACAACAGCAGACTTTTTCTCATGTGCCTCATCAAGATATATTCTAAATGTATACTGAAAATGCTTCTTTTTCATGTATTGTATCAAATTATGTTAGGACAGTATACTGAGAATTTAGCCATCACTACTTTTTCAAAGTATTCTGCCCGACACTGATAATTGTAAAGCATTTTGAGCTGCTACATGTATGAAAAGTGCTCTACATATCTATGAGATCATTTACCATTGAAAGGCTGCTACAGCTGCTCCATGATGTGTTCTGAATCCACTACATATGGTCATCTTCCGGGCTTGTGATTACGCATAACGGTGCAGCAGATCTGCACATCACGAAAATGACTTTCAGAAAGCCTTGAAATGAGTGTCGAAGTATGAATGTGACTGCAGTTTTACTGCCGTACTTTCCTTTTTTGGAAAAACTACCAAAACAGTTCATAAAGAGCTACTAATCTGGTCTTTAGTTTTCATTTTCTATTTCCCCACAAACACTCGCCATTTTACAATCCAGTATGTGCACAGGAAATGTTGGCTGAATTCTTCTACATTCACATTTAAGGCATCCAGAGTGACTTACAAAAGTGTTTTGTTGTCCACTCAGAGAATGCGTCCTAGCTGGTATAAATAGGTTACCCCTGAACCCAGACACTGTCAAACAAAGTGCCGATGCCTGGATAGAAAGATACAAAATAAAGAATTAAGACATAACATAAGTGCACTACAACACAATGTGCTGGATTATTGTCCATTTGCCTAAGGAAGTACTAAGCAATGAGCACGGAATTTTCTTCTGACTTAAAACCATGTTTACCTTCTTATTTTCTTAGGATCAATTCAATGTTTCTAAATAAATTATTGACATCATTTCTGTTTCTTATTTATTTACTTTTCCTAATATAATGGGGACAACTTGGTAAACATAAAATTAACATGATGATATGTTTTCGTCCTGTACACGTTTTGTGCACGTCAGTGTTCTTTGGGGTCAGTCTGACCCCAGGCTGATTTAGCTGTATAACACATACATATCAACATTTTACACACGTTTGTTTTGGTTGTGTTGGATGATACTGAAGTCATTATAACATGCAATTTTATAACCTTCAAAAAACTTCCCTCTGCTTTTGGACCCTAACCTAACATAACCACATCTGCAGTAGTGTGAGAACCACTGACGGTTCACATGATATGGGGGAGGGGAACCATAATTCCCATAAGAACCAGAAGTTTAAATTGCTGGGGTCAATAGACCCCAAGGATAAAAGATGTTAGTAAATTTGAGGAACAAATGGGTTAATCATGACCTAAATTTTAATACATATAATTGATTCAAATACTTGCAAGAAAGTTCACTTTTGAGTAATTTGCTCACTATGGACCCTAAGGGTGGGAATCTCTAGGCACCTCACGATTCGATTCGATTACGATTCAGAGGGCTGCGATGCGATTATAAAACGATTATCGATGCATCTTTTTTTTCTATACAGGATTTCTATTTTCTCACTGTCTGAGGACTTGGTAGTTTTAAAGCAAAGTATTTGTAATGATCGATAATGAATTTATTTCCAATATCTTTTATTAATAAATCAAATGGAAGTGATGTGGTAAGTGAACTAGAAGGCTCTCATTCGCTGCTCGTTTGGAGCACATGAGACGCTGCTGCCACTCATCTGCGATAAAATGCAGTTATGGTGAAATAAGATCCAGTGGCAGTGGATGTCCACGCAGCACGTTGCAGCCGTCCTTCCCGTTTTCTTTAGTGATTTTATAACTTCTCGTTGGTCTCGTTGTAGAGCTGGGGGGGTCGCTGTGTCAGTAAAATATCTTTGAGACGGGTCGCTGTATCTCGGCCCCAAGGTGCGCAACATAGCACGAAAGCCCTGTTTCGCAGCAACTGAGAATTGCCGTGCAGACTGCAGGTCACCTAGCAACGATGTGTTATTCACATTTATAAGCAGCACAGTTGGTTTCCTGGTACGTTAAATCTGCAACGAGAGACTGTCACACACTAAAAAGTGGCGAGGCTGAAGTTGCTTCTCTTTAGAATTTTCTTCTCTTTAGAATCGATTTTTGACATTTGTGAATCGATTTAGAATCGTTCACGTCCGCATCGCGATGCGTCTAAGACTCGATTTTTCCCGCACCCCTAATGGACACAATATTGGAAAAAAAGGATTGTATTCATAATTTTGACCCTTTCTTACCAGAGCTGTGGACTTTTTTGCCTTTTTATATTGAAAATGTTTTATGCAAATCTAACTGAATATCTTCATAATCATTGTGATTCACATGTCATCGCCGTCCAATGAAAAACAAGTATCTCCAAAATAGTAACTTTACAGGACAGGGCAAAAACCTTCTTTACTTTCAATGTAAGTTAATAGAAAAAGCTTTTACTCTAAGCAATTTTGGACCATTTCTATTGGTCCAACCATCATGAAATGTTCACACAATGTAAAGGACAACTACTGAGCTCAAATGATGCAGAAAAGTAAAAATCGCAAAAAATGGAGATACATGTTTTTCATTGGACAGCGACGATATTTTCACTTTCATATATATGCTGTACTATCACTGCGGTTATTCATAAAACTAAACAGTTTTTAAGCTATATCCATTTACACATCTCAGGATTACAAGGGAGATAGAAACACTGCAACTTTTCATGATTTAACAGTGTAATGCTACAAATATAATTGTAAACATAGTTAATAAAATATTTTGTCAGTACCAACATGGATTGATCACCTTTGTTGAGTTCTTTATTATGTTAATATTTTCAGAATATTATCATGTGTTTATTTCATGTGTGATTTAAAGGGAGCGTTTTTGATTCAAAAGCAAGAGAACAACTCTTTTTAATATTATTATGTCAGTATTCTTTTTTCACATTACATATAATCTGTAATAAATATAATAAAAATAACCATATCAGTTTAGAATGAAACATATCAAATATATAATTCCCACTGCATTACCAGTGCATTAAGACCAGTGCATAAAATGGTAATATAATTTCTTTACTCATGGTGAAATTGGTTTAAAACTTTGACAAAATCTTGAAGCAATATTTATCTTTTACAATAACTGTAATAACTAGGTTTTTATAAGAAAAAGGAGCACAATTAAAAGTGCTATATTGTGATGCATAGTATCACACAGTTAATATTAACGAATATAAATGACATGAAACAAAATTATAAGATCAAGGCTAATGATTCACAGTTTCAGGGTTTATCTAACTTGGTCATGTAGCTGACACTGACTTCAAACTGGAAAAAATGTAATACAGTCCTAAGTATTGTTTTTAAACATAAAAAATGATGCATTTAATATTTAATGAACTTTAACACTCATTCATTAGCAACTTAAAACACTTTTTCCTAAAGCACATTTTAAAATATATTGCATTAGAAAACAGTACTTACAACAAAATCAAGGAAAATCCTGGAAAACGTAACAAAACATCCAAACATGCAAACAAAAGTGATCAGTTATGCCATGTTAGATTGTAAGCAGTCACTTAGGGTGAGGATGGAGGTATGACAGTTTCCCTCACTTTCCTTGTTAAGCTCGCAGGAGAGAATTTAGCAGAGTCTGCAAGGGTTTGAAGTCTTACGCACTTAAAACACCTCATGAGAAGTTCATCACCGTTGAACAGATACACTAGTGGGTTAATGACAATGTTCAGACATGCCAGTCCGTTGCCTATTTGGTTGGCGATGTAGACATCGGCAAACCATCTCTGGCAGACGTTCCTGGTCTTCCAGATCCGGGTCTGCAGGTTGAGGTTTCTGAATATGTGGTAGGGGATGAAGCACACAGAGAAGAGTAGAGCCAGGACCACCACCAGCCTTAGACACCTCAGTTTCAGCAAGTTATCTCCAAAGTCTTTATTCGTTGCCAGAGTAAAAGCCACATGTCCATAGCAGCACACCATCACCACCAAAGGTATTGCAAATCCAGTAACAGTTCGCACAATGCTGTACCGCAAATATTTCTCTGTGCTGTTGGTCACCGTTGTGTCGTAGCATTGCGACATGTTCTGGGATGTTTTTTCAAAATACACCTCAGGCAGACTCTGAACGAAAACCAAAATCCAGACCAGTGCAGTTATCCCCATAGAGCAGTGCGCTCTTATTCGGCCTTTCACCTTCAGAGGGTGGACAATGCTCAGATACCTGTACACACTGATAACTGTGAGAAAGCCAATACTTCCATAGAGATTGATACTGAATAGGAATCTCGTTAGCTTGCAGAGGCTTTGTCCAAAGATCCATTCCTGTCCATTCGCATAATATGCCACCAAAAGTGGCAAAGTGAGCAGGTACAAAATGTCTGCTATACATAAATTCAGTGCAAAAATGTTTACATTTCCCAGCTTTGTCCAGTTTGCATGCACAGATTTCAAGCCAAAGCAATTGCCAAGAAGTCCAAAAACAAAAACAAAAACGTACACCGTGGATAAGAAAATGTGGGTAAAGTTAAAGTCAACCTGTTCACAGGTCAAGTTGGTGCCCATTTTCCAGTTCTTGGAATAGCACCAAATGTCCCAAAAGTCAAGATCAATAGGCTTTGTTGCAGGCTAGCCAGCCTGCAGTCTGTAAAGCTGAAAAAAGATTACTTTTTTCCTTTATGAAGATAACAGTTAAACACAGACGTGTTGCTATGAAACAGGAAGTGGTATTTGCAGAAGCAGTCATGTTCAGTGAGTGTAGAACAGGTGGTTTCACAGCACCCAACCAACCAATGAAGCACCATAGACTCTTATTCTTCTATTTTTGTTCAGAGAGTGAAATTATAGTGGATGACTAATGCTGATTACTTTTTTCATGGTGGTTTCCTTTGCGTTTCCTTTTAGCAAATGATGCCAATAGCCGTTTTCAAATCCCTTGTGGCAGAAGGCTGATCTTCAACAGTTGGTAAAGCAAAGGTGAACACGTGGTTGAAGCTGGAACGTGGTCTTCATTGCACAATGTTTTGTTCAGTTTGACTCTCACCGCCCCCATCATTCATGCTCTTTTGTTACAGTTACAGATAATAGCTCAACACATTTTCCAGAGATTATCAACACCCAGCATTTTCTTTTTAGGTTGAATCCGCCACATCAAGGTCATGAAAACTTTGCTAAATATTTAAACTTTTTCACAATCCATTTTTCTTATACTGGCAGTAAAGCTGAGATGTTTACCTATTCTGCGGTTATCGCTTGAGGTTTACTGCATATATGCTCCATTTCTGAGTTTCAAGGTCATGATTCACTTTAGCAGTTCAGTTTCATATTGTGTCACATTAACACTATTTATGTGCCATAACCTTTATGATGTAATTGACTGAAAAAAGTGAATTAGTTTTTTGAAGCACTCAAAAACAAGCAGCAATAACAGTATGCTCAAAAAAAAATTACAAATCAGTATATGAACAGGTCTTGCTAACAAGAAACAGCACTAGCATAGTGCAGCTTTATGAGGTAACATAAAACATTTTTTTTCAGACTGATTTTGGACTATTTGTATCAGTCAGTTCAAGAAATGTTCATGCATCATAAATGGCAGCTGGTATTTTCAAATTACTGACTGCTCGTAAGGAGGGTTGACACTTGGTTTTGTCCGAGACAAAGACATGACCGAGTAAAAATAATGCCCAAGATGTGAAAGCCAATACACAACCACTACCACACTGAACACACATGCTTATTCCTGTAGCATAAAATTAAAGGGCAATTGAAGATAATGCCTTTATACATTGTCCATTGACTATCAATGTCCAGTATTTATCTTTTAGATCCAATCTGCCCCAGTTAAGGTTATAAATGTATTAAAATGCTAAATATATAAGTAACCCTTTCAAATTTCTCTCATACTGCCTGTGCTGCTGAGCTTTTTTACACTGTGCTTGGTTTTTACACTTACACCCATTTCACACCCCATCTCTGGAACACAACTGACCCTAATGATTCACTTCCTGTCTGTTCAAGGGTTTCTTGTAAGTGCAAATGAATGTCATTAACTTCTTCCATATAGGTCCCCGTTCTCCAAAGGCATTTTAAAGTTTTTTTTGTTTTTTTTTTATCCATTGGCTACACCACCAATTACTCTTTTCCTTTATTTTATTATTACTGACACTGCTACTGCATACCCGACTCACCCAACCCACACAAGTAAAGAAATAACAAGTGATGAAGAAAAGGGAGAGAGGTGCAAAAAAGAGTAACAAAAAGGAAGAAAATAAATAACAACAACAACAATGCAAACAGAGACACGAAAATAAATAAAGGGTACATACATTCAAATGGATTTTATGGGATATTGGGTGTTATGTTATGAAGGAAAAGAAATTGTTGTATATGGGAAAAGCTGTTTTGTTCTTTCCTCCACATTTTTGCATGCTGTGTCCATGATGTGCGCAAATAACAAGGTTTATATATCACTGTTTTAATGAATTCAACATCTTTTGAAACTGCTTGACCTGTTGTTTTAATAGATGTTGATGTTACTGCATACATGTGTGGTCAAGAGCTTCTTTGAGAAAGGTCTAACTGCAGAGCCGCAGTACCGCACTCTCAGACCCTTGCTGTAAGACCCTCACTCTCAACTCCAAATATGATGTTACAAAGTGCTTAAGAGGTTTAAATAGCTATAATATATTGAGTTTTATTACATGGAGGGCACAGAAGGTGGTATGTAACGTTTTTAGAAACCCTTAAATACAATGTGATCATGAAAAAAAACACCTTACCGAGCGTTGGCTGGAAGATGGAGGCTCAATCTCAAATGGCTCCCTACTCCCTTAATAGTGCAATGCACAGCAGAGATTGCATGACTTCAGTCCACAGTTATGTGATGAAGGTCAACGTTAATTAATTGCTGATGCCATCATGAATAAAACCACAGGGAAGGGAACGATTTGCAAGAAGTGACTTTAAAAATCCCTGATGAAGCCAAACTCTACAGGTTAGTAGAGCATGATGTGCCCTCCGACGAGCCCTGGATCACACTGCTAGCCTTCAGGGAACCAGAGATATGAATCCGGAATCTCACAAATTTGCAACCCACTTAGGCGCGCACCCTAGGCAGCCTTGCCAAGATGCTCACCCACCACATAACTCAGAAAAATTAAGAGGAACTCCACAGGTCAGCAAAGCGTGATGTGACCTTTCCAATGAGCGCATTACTAACCTTCAGGAAACCGAAGAGACAGACCCTGAAATCACTTCACTGAGGGATCTATGTTGTTGGCTTCACAGTCAAGTGATCAACAACTAGTCGACATCAAGCTTAAAGCGTCATCGCTGAGAAGTAAAGTTGACAAGTCGACTAGTCTGTGCAACTTCTACTGCGTAGGTCATAAAACTGTGGCTTCTACACAACACTGTGTTAGATAGGAAGTCATGCAGCTTGTGCTGAATATAAATTGCTTTCTATGAGACATATAATACACTATATTGTTGTAGATGCCGTTATTTCATTACCTACATAGGGAGTAGGTAGCCATTTCAGATTCACCCAGAGAGTTGGGCTGTGTGAATGAGCGACTACTCAGTAATGATTTACACCTGTGCATGCTTAACAGTAGCCCGCAGTCCCAAAATATACTTTAACACTGAAAGAACCAAAATGTTACCAAGCATTTTTAACAGAGATAAAATTATTAAGATGATTAAAAATGCTTTCTTTCAAGTAATAAGAGTAATGCAGTATAAGTACAATCCATCATTTACTCATGTACTCAGAGCCAAAAGTGTTTCTGAAATCCAAAACAGAGGTGTAAGCAGCTGCAAGTGCAAGTGTGAAAGCTCTGCAGTTGGACACTACTGTGGCTTCTTCTGGTGCAGATTCAAAGTGTCTTGTGTGCTAAGAACACTCACTGATGGAGAAACTTGCTTTGTGTGCTTTACATATAAACACTCTGGAATTCAACTATTACACACATAAACATGTGTACATATTATATTTAATATTATTTGTAATCTGTTTCTGATCCTGTTTCCTGGATGTAGACAGGGCTCAGAGAATTTTTTCCTACTTCTAAAAGTTCCAAATCTAAAGCTAGCTGCTGTAGGGAAATAGCAGCTAGCTTGGTTGTTTCACTGCATCAAATCAGACTGGCGCAAGTTGAAGTTTCAGAGCACATCATTTTTAGTTCCATGCACTCAAGCTAAACGTAACATTAAGTGAAATAAGTAGAAGGGGAAGAGCCGGGGGGCAGATAAAGTTAGGATTACAGTGCGTAGCAGAGAGAACCAACAGGCAACTTATTACGAATTCTGTCCTTCTCTAACAAAAGAAAAAACTGACTTTTTAGGTGTGTCAATCTGAATAAGATTAATAAGTTTTCTTTGGGGACTATTTTGTCTTACAACACCCTTCTTGTATCATTCCACCATAAATTGATTAAACTATATTTTAGACCACAAATTTTATCACAAAACTACCATGAAACAATGTCTCAAACATCAGGCAATATACTCGTAACCATTCCATGTATTAATTTTCTGTGAGGGAGCTTTTAGAGGGGTTAAACTCTTCAGGTGTCTGGTTCCTATCACCACCACTATGAACAATTCTGACTTGGTAAGTTTCTCTGGAATGAAGCATTTTATGCCAAATCACTCTGAATAAATTTGTTGACATGTTAACAATTTAATTTCAATTTTGAAAAAACAGTTCCCCTTTAAATAACGTGATCCCCAATTTCAGATGTTTAGCAAGCTGTTCAATGCTAAATTACTCCTCTTTAGTTCTCTGTTAGTTTCCTAACATGGCAATTATCGCCTTTGAAGCATCATCATGGGGTTACTTGTCAATTGCTGATGATATCTGATTACAAGCCAAAGGCTGTATGACAGAAATTTTCTATGTTTTTGTTTTAAGATATGACAAGTCAAGCTAAGATTTTTCACAACTTCTTATTACACAAGCAAATCTTCATCTAGGAATTTCATCATATCTTGCAGCACCTCATCTCCAGTTACGAAATCTTAAACTTACTCAATCAAAGTCAACAACCAGCTGTCATACCTGTTACCAAGCAACTGACCACACGCATGAAAATTAAAGCGTGATAAGTGATGAAGTTAAGAATATTGTGAGAGCGCTTCGTGCTGTTAATCAGAGCCTTATTCCTCCTAATGAACAGACACACATTCAAATCTGTCACCACCATCACTGTAATATTTTATCTGACAAGTTTTCATCAACATTAACACATGAAGGTAATAGGAGGGGACGGTGGAAATCGTGTCTGCAGTGTCTGGGATTTTTAAAATGGTGTTAGAAAAAACTCCTAAGTCAAAGCACCATTTTCAGTGTAAATAAATGTAATGTCATTATGCCAGTTACAGTGAACTGTGCTGCCTGTCACTGCATAAAACAACAGAAACAGATGGTTAAAACAGAAGTTAAGACACCTCTGGGGTTTATCTTAAAGTTAGTACAGAATTTATTTTTGTTTGGTTAGGATGTTTTTGTAACACTGTTTTCTCATCTGGAGTTAATGGATAAGAATATGAACTTAAGAACTGTTGTTCTATAACAGCTTCTGGCCTAAATTCAGTCCTAACTGAAGTTGTCATGGTGACTAAATAGAGAAGATTTCAGAGTTAAGAAGTGT